GTCCAAAAGGTCCTGGTGTGGATATGGCCCCACTTTCATTTGCGTATTTCTGGGTTCAAACTCCGAGTTTAAGCAGCCTGCCTTTCCATTTCACTGTCCCTTACCCACCAGCCCGAGGGCCTCGCTCCACTGCACAACACTGTACGTCGCTGTACATGCATTTTGCCGCTTTCTGGACCAGATGCATTCGGACGAGTCCAGCTGTTTGAAAGTATCAGGGTGGTGGAAGACGGTAGCAGCTACGGTAGTGGGCCAGAATTGCGGCAATGGATTTCTTATAGCTCCTGCTTGTACTCTGGGCAGTGGGTACCACCAATTCCCTATGTGACATGTGGCATGAATGATTTTGATGAGAGCAGGAGCTGCAGGACCAAAGTTTATTTAATTTTTTCTGTGTCTAAACACCACTACCTCCGATCTGTGTCTCACCGCCACTACCTCCGAGCCTCTTTTTGCTCAGGCCTAGGAGATCTGAGGTGGTTGGTGTTTCCTGTACTATACATAGGGCCTACCGTCTTCACCCGAATAGAACGCCCCGTATTTATCGCTGCATCTGGACTGAAAGTTGTGCCAAATGCAGCTATAATGACCGGGCGTTCTATTCGGGTGAAGACGGTAGTTGCCCTACGAGTTTTGCGGGTAGGTGCACGGTTGCACTTACTCGCCAAAAACCTGTCAGAACTTTTGTGGAGCTTCCCTTTTCAGTCCGCCACAGAGTGCGGCGAGCTCCCGACTCTCTACTGCTATTTTGTGGAGGGCCATCCTCGCGACCTCTCCACAAACTACTGCTATTTTGTGGAGGGTCATCTGCTATTTTGTGGAGGGTCATCCTCGCGCCCTCTCCACAAAACAACTTCTTGGCGAGTGCAAGGCTTCACGAGTGGAGATCAGGCAGACAAAAAATTTCAACTTTTCTGTAGATTCTGAAGAAATATAGTGCCAGTAAGTGCAACCAGGCCTCCAGTTTGACACAATTCTAGTTTTTTATAACTCTCCACACATCTGCCACGAATTGGCGAGTAGTGCAACTACACCCATAGAGAAGCGTGGTGATGACATAGAGAGATTGAGAGAAGAACAAAGTTAAAAAAAAGAAAAAAAAAAGGAAAAAGGAAAATTTCAAGTCAAGCTTTGCTGAAGAGCCAGTGCCACTTTTGTTTTTTTTGGTCTGTGCCGCCAGCCATTTTGGTCGGGTGGCGCCCGGCCTCAGAAGAATTTGATGTACGGTATTTTTGTGTCTGGAGTTTGGCTGTGATTCCTGTGAAAGGTTGTGACCATTTTAGAAGTTGTGACAGGCAGTGTTGAGGGCTCCGCATCTATCGCACAATGCGGCGATCGAGTTGTCCCTGCTTTTCGTGGATTCGGATTCTTCTTTTTCTTTTTCTATTTTGTTATTCTTCTTTGGGTCCCATTTACAATTCAAATCTGTCAAAATTGTAGGAATTACATTGGGGTAGGGGAATGGTACCACGATAGGGTAGGCATTGCTGTCAATTAAATTCCTAATTTGTTAAACTAGTGACAGATAAGGACCCAGGTAACAAGGGATATTTCGAAATTGTAGGAATTACATTAGGGTAGGAGAATGGTACAACATAGGGTAGGAATTGCTGTCAACTCAATTTTTATTTGTTAACCCAGTAACTGATAATGATCCCCGTAAATTCCCACTTTTTTTTTTTTTTTTTTTTTTTTTTTTAGAGGCTAATTCCTTAAGCCCAACCAATTCCTTTACCTGTCAAATCTGGACAGGACGGCCTTTCAAATTCCCACTTTTAGATATAGCTTGGATGAACTTACATAAGGGATCTTATACAGTCTTTTGTCATGGATTGTGGGATGGATGGCTCGGTAATTTGGGCTATAAGCTAGCTGAGTAATGATGTCCGTATCCGGGTTGATGTGTCACGTGTGAGATCCCCAGCCTTGAATTTGCATTGAAATAAAAACTGTTGTTTTTTTTTGTATAGTTAAAAAAAATAATGAAAATCAAATATAAAATAGGGGCGTAGCTTCCGCGCAGTCAGGAAAACAGTTTGAAAATGCACTTCAGGCAATCGCGCGAGCACAACACAGCCCCACGTGACCCCACCGGACCCGAAACGTAGGTCATATACATTCACCATTACCAGCCTTTTTGCCTCAAGTGCATTTTCAAACTCAAACCCTGACTGTGGCGTAGTTTTCTCTATAAAATATTTTTTAAAAAGATAGAAAAAGAAAGGGAAAAGTTACAAAACCTTCCCGCGGCCAAACCGCTGTATTCATTTCCCCCAAATGGGGTAAAAAGTGTGGCAGGCCCCAAAATGACATTTCCTGTCATTTTTGCACCCTGGCTGGGAGGTAACGCCTCTGTGCACACATGGGGGGAAAGTGTTTTACAGGGTGCAAATATGCCCCAAAAGCTAGGCTACCAGCCGGGCCGCCCGGGTCCCCGGTGGCCAGCCCGTGCAAGGACCAGGGAAGGCCCCAGCAAAAAAAAAAAAAAAAAACAATCCAA